TAAGTCTCAGCTTCCTCATCTTTAAAATGGGAACAGGTGGGGCACAGTGGCTCATACCCATAATCCCAGTATTTTGGTAGGCCAGGGCAGGAGAACTGCTTGAGACCAGGAGTTCAAGAGCAGCCTGGGCAATTTAGCAAGACCTCATCTCTACAAAAATTCAAAAAAATTATCTGGTGGGTGTGGTGGTATGCATATGTAGTCCCAGCTACACGGGAGGCTGAGGTGGGAGGATGGCTTTAGGAGTTTGAGGCTGTAGTGAGCTGTGATTGTGCCACCGCATTCCAGCCTGGGCGATAGAACAAGACTTCAATTCAAAAAACAAATACATAAAGCAAAATACAATGGAAGCAGAAAACAATGAAGGACCACACCGGGAGGTCGCAAGGGTGAATTGGGTCTGACATTGCAGGTAAAGATCCTAGCATGAGCCGGGCTTGGTGGCTCAGCCTGTAATCCCGCGCCTTTGGGAGGCTGAAGTGAGTGGATTGCCTGAGCCCGCAGGTTTGAGACCCTCCGGCAACTTGGTGAGACCTCATCTCTACAATAAATCAAAAAATTAGCTGGGTGTGGTAGCGCGCGCCTGTAGGTCCAGCTATTTGGAAGGCTGAGGCGGAAGGATCGCCGGAGCCCAGCGGGTCGAGGCTGTGGTGGCCGGGAGCGGCCACTACACTCCAGTCTGTGTGACAGAGTGAGACTCCAACTAAAAAAAACCAAAAAAACCCCAAAAAACCAAACCAAACAAACAAACAAAAAAGATCCTAGCATGGTCCCGCCCACCCCACATTCTGCCATCTTGGAAGGAGTCGGTAGCTGTCTGGGTGACTAGTCAAGTCTTCCCTGAAAGTTTCTGGTGGGTTCTCTAATTCCATCAGCTGCCTGGCCCTCCCTACTGAGGAGATGGGAGTGGGCAAACGGGTTTCACCTCTAGAAATCCAGTCGAGGGCCCCGGGCGCCTTGCTGGGACTCCCACCCCCAGCGGCGCCCACAGGAGTCCCCTCCCTCCTTTCTTCCTCATTTGAGCACCTATTGTTTTGGCGGGGTCGCTGGGAAATGTCCATCTCCAAAGGGGTCCACCAGCACCTCCCACCCTTCACCATCAGCACCCCGTGGTAAGGCGATGCATCAAGTGAGGTGACAACAATCCCATTTCAAGGTGGGTCAACTGAGGCTCAAACTAGCTTCTGTACAGTTTGGTCTAGAACTTGTGTGTTTTTGCAGCCAGAGAAGGGATTTGCTCAAGGGGTTTTGGGAGACCCGGGCAGCTGTGGTGGGGAACCGGGGAGCTCTAGCCCCAGAGCAGGACACACGGGCAGGGATCTTGGCTCTTGGATCCCTGTGCCTTGTCTGCAAGTCGGTCAGTGCCACACTCGCCAAGCCTGGTGTGTGTTTGCTTCGTGAACCTACTTGGTGAGTAGATTATTTTGCCTGTGTCCTCTGGAGAAGGAGGGAGGGTGACAACTGAGTAGCGGGGCATGTGTGTGTGTCTGCGGCTGAGGGTGAGGGTGAGGACTTCCCGGACGGCAAGGAGACCAAGCTTGGTGTCAGGAGCCCCTGCTTCCAGCCCAGCCCTGGCCCTAGCATGCTGCTTTGACCAGGCAAACACCTGCCCTTCCAGACCCCAACTGCCCTATCTGTGAAATGGAGGCGATGGGGGACGGAAGAGTCTGTCCTGAGATCTCAGCATTCTCAAAGTGCAGTCCTGGGCCGAGCTCTGCCTGCGCCCGGACTGTCCCCAGGGTCTGACTTCACCAGGTTGGCCTGACCCGATCTCTGACACCATCCGGCTGGCCCCACTCCCTCTGTCCTGCCCTTCCCAGAGGAGCCTGGGCCTGGGCTTGGCCAGGCCTGCAGAGAGGGCAGGGGGCCTCCAGGCCCACGTTCAACCACTCGAGTCGCTTTCCTGCTCCTCGGAACTGCAGCCAGCATCCTCACTTCCCGCCCTCTTGAAATCTGAGCTCGGGGATCCAGGCAGGACTCTGCAGCAAAACATTCCATCCAGTTGTCCAAATACTCTGCACAGCTGGCGGAGGGCGGGGTGGCCGGAGCCGTCGGGAGCCCTGGGGCTGTGGCTTTCCTGGACCCGGGGGAGTCTTCCCTCCGGGGGCCAAGCGTGCACACACACCGTCCTGGGGCCTCCCCCAGGCCCCCCTGCCGAGTGCCCAGCCCCTGGCTGGGGAGATCCAGCCACCTCAAAGGCTGCCTGGCCAGGTGTGCTCTGCTGCCTTGCTCCTGCCTGTCCGATGGTGGCGGCGCAGGCAGCGGACAGGAGGGTGGCGCCCTCGTGAGCCTCTCCTCGTGACTGGGCTGGGATCGCGGCAGCAGGGGGAGGGCAGGCAGCAATGACGCCGAGATAGCGAGCAGGGAGGTGACTTCGTGCAGCTGCTTTGACTGACAAGCTGCCCAAGACCCGGCTGCCTCTTGGGCTACAACTCTCCATGCCTGGATGAGTCTCCGAGCCTCAGTTTCCTCATCCTCAAGAGGAGAGAGTCAGGCCTCTTCAGACTCTGATTTTTCTAAGAAGTCACAGTCAGAGACACGGCCCTCACAGCTCCAAACTGTGTCTAAACGTCCAGAAACGTAGTCCTTTTTTTTTTTTTTTACAGTCCCCAGCAACTCTGACTCAGTTTACCGCCCCCCCAGGGGCTGGTGGGGGCTGGGCAGGGAGAGACCATCTTCCAGATTCTTGGCCACCCGCCAGGCTGAGTCCCTCTCTGTCCTGCCCTGTCGGGGTGATGGGGAGACCTCCCCTTTTCACACATCCTGTTTTCCATTAATTGTTTCCAGGTGGGTACAGAGGTTGCCCGGCAGAGGAAGGTGGGGGCATGGGAGAATGCAGCAGAGGGATCAGGCAAGGAGCAAAAACAGGAAGGGGGTGGAAGCAGGCCATGGAAAATTCATTGCCAAGGAAGGGGAGCCGGCATCTGGTTTGCGTTAGGCAGAGAGAGCTGGATGCCTGAGGCCCGAGTGGGAGATATTGTTATCCGCTGGGCCTGGGCTGGGCGGGGTGCGGACCTCGCAGATTCTCTTCAGTCGGGACTCAGGAGCTGACAGGAGAGAAGGCGGAAGTCGAGGGAGAAGGAGACAGGCCTAAGCTGCGGCAGAAACTTCACTAATATCATCTTCTTTGATACACACTACTTCACAATGGAGCCATGTTCCCATTTCATAGACGAGAAAACGATCCCAGAGGCATTAAGTGACTTGCCCAAGGGGCTTTGGGACTGGTGCTACCAGGAAACAGCAGAACTAGGATTCGAATTCAGGCCCAATGAGACAGGGCAGCCCATTTGAGCTGGCCCACGGATGGATGGATCGAGGCCGACTGTGTCGAGCAAAGGGAGAAAGACTTAGTGATGGGGGTGGGCCAGCCTTTGCCCGTAGGGTTACTCCATCCTAGAAGAGTCATGACCAGGGTCTGAGGGCTCCAGCTACAGGGGAAGAAAGCAGCTCACAGGGAAAGGCTTCCTGGAGGAGAGTATATGAGCAAAAGAGAGATTTATCAGCAAGGGTGGGAAGGGGTGGAGGTCACAGACAGAGAGGATAGTGTGTGGAAAGGGGAGGTGTGGCTTATTTGGAGCAGGTCTGGGCAATGTGCCTTACAAGGTGAGAATCTTTTTTTTTTTTTTTTTGAGTCGGAGTCTCATTCTTGTCGCCCAGGCTGGAAAGCAGTGGCACACTGACGGCCACTGCAACCTCGACCTGCTGGGCTCAGGCGATCCTTCCGCCTCAGCCTTCCAAATAGCTGGAACTACAGGCACGCCCAGCTAATTTTTTGATTTACTGTAGAGATGAGATCTCCCCAAGTTGCCCAGGCTGGTCTCGAACCCAAGAGGTCAGTCAATCCTCTCACCTCGGCCTCCCGAAGTGCTGGGATTATAGGCGTGAGCCACCGTGCCCAGCCCAAGAATCCATTTTATAGTTGGAGAAACTGAGGCACAGAGAAGCTAACATGCCCAAAGGCTCAACCTGGAAGCAGGGTTGAACTCAGCCTGTTCGACTCCAGGCCTGTGTTTCCAGCTCCTACTCTGAGTTGTTCCTTGTTGATGGTGGTTAAAAATGGTTTGTTTTGGTTTTGTTTTTAGAGAAAGGGTCTTGCTCTGTGAGTGCACTGGTGTGATCCTAGCTCACTGCAGCCTCAACCTCCTGGGCTCAAGGGATCCTCCTGCCTCAGATTCCTGAATAGCTGGAACTACAGGTGCACACCACCACCTCTGGCTAATTTTTCTTTTTAGCTAAGAAAGATAAATTTATTAAAGAGAAAATACATTGTGAAAGACAGCAACAAGAATGTCTGCTGTCTGCTGCCACCTCTGGCTAATTTTTAAAATTTTTTGTAGAGGTGGGGTCTCGTTATGTTGCCCAGGCTGGGTTAAAAGTTTTAAGGGGGCTGGGCTTGGTGGCTCAGCCTGTCATCCCAGCACTTTGGGAGGCCAAGGTGAGTGGATTGCCTGAGCCCATGGGTTCGAGACCCACTGGGCAACTTGGCGAGACCTCGTCTCTACAATAAATCAAAAAGTAACTGGGCATGGTAGCGCGTTCCAGCTACTCGGACGGCTGAGATGGAAGGATTGCTGGAACCCAGAAGGTCTAGGCTGCGGTGGCCGGGAGCGTGCCACTGCACTCCAGCCTGGGCGACAGAGTGAGAATCCAATTAAAAAAAAAAAAAGTTTTAAGGGGATACTGAGGCCTGTGGCAGTTGGGGGAGGAGACCTGCTTAAGGCCACATAGCCAGCTATAGTGGGGCCAGGCTGGGCCCCAGCCTGGGAGAAGAGGGCAGAGGTGGCCCTCTCTGTGTGCCTGCTGGAGGCCTGTGGCCTCCCTGGAGGTGTCTCCCCTTCCCTGACCCAGAGCCTGGGAAGGGGGGCCAGTGTCTTCTGCTGGCTGAAGAGTCACGGGAGTTAATAATTACGGGCGAGGAGATAGAGGCCTGTCTGGGAGGCGGCTCCCTCCTGGATGGCTGCTCCTGGGAGATAGCAAAGGTTAGTGTGAGGCTCGGCCTGGGGGTGGGGAGCAAGCTCCAGCCATCTGCCCTCCTGGCAGCCTCTAGAGGGACCCACCGTCTGGTCCCCCAAGCATGGACGCCCCCGAGGAATCCGCCAGGTGCCCAGCCCGGGGGACGTGCCCAGTGTTCCTGGCCATGAGTTCAGGGACTGTCCGCTATGCCCCGTCAGGCCTGGACCCTGCACTTGAGGGGGACTTAGGAGAGGGGCCCTGGGGCCCAGGCAGGTAAGCTAGGGACCGGATTCCAGAGGGGAGGAGGAGCTGTGCCACTTTGCAGGGGCGTGGAGCTGGGCAGGGGTGTGGGGCTGGGCAGAGGCCTGAGAAATTGAGCTCAGGACAAGACACTGGCACAGAGCTATGAGGAATTTGGGGAGTCTCCAGTAAGTTTGTGCGGGATGGGGGGTGGGGGCCCGAGTGTCCTGTCCAGCTTGGTGGTTGTGTGGAGGTGGTGGAGACGGAAACCCTGAGCGGGCAAGACACTCGCCCTGGGTCACACGGTGAGCTGAAGGCAGACCTAAGTCCAGAATCAGGCCTGGGTCTTCCAGGCCAACTGTCTTCTCCTCCTCTGCCTTCTGCTACGGGTCTGTGGTCAGGGCTGCCAGGCTGGAGGTACAGATGGTGGGGGAGCTATGGCGGGGGCACAGCTTTTATTGTCCTTCACACACCCCCCCGCCGCTGGGTCAGGCACCTAGTAGGTGCTTAGTAACCTCTCGTCACCTGCACACAGCCGCAGTGTTGGGTGAGCCCTGGGGTTTCTGGGTGGTCTTTCTGGAAGGCTGGAGCAAGGGGGCTCAGCCCTACTATACCTGGCTATGTGATACCAGGCAGGTTCCTTTTCTTTTTTTAAATTTTGAGTCAGGGTCTCACTCTGTTGCCCAGGATGAAGTGCAGTGGCACAATCATGGCTCACCACAGCCTTGACCTCCTGGGCTCAGATGATCCTCCTGCCTCCCGGGTCTGGCTAATTTCTTTTTTCTTTTAAATTAATTAATTTATTATAAAGCCAGCTAATTTCTTAATTCTTTTGTAGAGATGAGGCCTCACCAAGTTGTCCAGGCTGGTCTCAAACTCCTGGGCTCAAGCAGTCCTCTTGGCTGGGTCTCCCAGAGTGCTGGGATTACAGGCATGAGGCTATTCCTGGCCTTTTTTTTTTTTTTTTTTAAGAACTTTTTTTTTTTTGAGTTGGAGTCTCATTGTCACCCAGGCTGAAATGCAGTGGCACGCTCATAGCCACCGCAGCCTCGACCTGCTGGGCTCAGGTGATCCTTCCACCTCAGCTGGAATTACAGGCACGCGCCACGCGCCACCACGCCCGGCTAATTTTGATTTATTGTAGAGATGAGGTCTCGCCAAGTTGCCCAGGCTGGACTCAAACCCCTGGACTCAAGTGATCTTCCTGCCTGGACCTCCCAAAGTGCTGGGGGATTAGAGGCATGAGCCACCATGCCTGACTATGTTTCCTTAATTTCTCTGAATCCATCCTTGTCTGCTGAGGAGCAGGGTTTGCTCTGTTGCTGTGAGGAGGCAGTGAGGCCTGGGAGTCCCTGGCAGTTGGGATGCACAGAAGACAGGATGTTTTGGGTTAGTCATTGGAGAGTTGATGCTTCCAGAGTGGTGAGCACATACTTGTTTTTCGGGGCCTGGTTCAAGGGCCTCCCAGTCCACCAGCCTTCCCACACTGATGACTCCTCCTCTGGGGCTATAGCCCTGGGCTGACCCTTCCTCCACCCTCTATCTCCCACTGGTCTCAGTTACCACTGCTTATCTCCTGCCTGGGCTTGTGAAGTCTTGGAGGGCAAGGGCCCTGCCCTGGGCTCTTTTCGTGTCATCTTCCCCTTCCCTAAACCGGGAACAAAACAAGGGCCAGGAGGGCAGCAGCTGCTCCAGACTTACTTGGTGGAGGATTCAAGTCCACAAGCATAATGTCAGTATCTGCTTTGGGTGGGCCAAACCCTGAGCTGGGCTGGAGTGGGTGGGGGAACACAGCTCCAAGAAGAAGCTGGTTCCTGCCCTCTGGAAGCCACGATCATGGAAACAACTCCCCTACACAGTGAAGGGCACAGGAGGCCTGGGTTGAATGCTTCTGGAAAGTTGCAAGGGCTGTCATGGAGGGCTGTCCAGGTTGTTCACGGCACAAAGTGCCAGCCTAGGGAGCGAGCAAACATGAAGTCCAACCTGGCCTCCACCCACCAAGTCCTGTACCTTGGTGGGAGCTGTGCCCACCTGGGGAAGGAGCACCGTTTTCTATTTTGACCCAAGACCCCATTCACCTGGTAAGGTGTGCCCTGGGCAAGCGGTGGCCCTGGAGCTGGAAGTCCAAGAGTATGTCCTATTTCTACCCCTCACCATACTGGAGCCCCAGAGAGGGCAAGGCCTGTGTCCCTGCAGTTTCCTTCTGCAGCTCCAGCCCTTGTACAACCCCTAGTTTGTGCTCGGTGAGGCAGTTGCGTGTGTGAATGAGTTGAGTGAATGAATGAAATGTGTTCCCAAAAGGAGATCTGACAAGCTCAAGCCTGGGGCCCCAGAGTCAGTGGGCCTGGAGGTGGGGGGAGTGCACTCAGAGCTCTGGTGGCATCTGGAAGGGAAAGTACCTCCCCCCATGCCCCAGTCTTCCCCCAGGCACAGGAGCCACGGTCCCTGGCAGGAGAGGTCCTGTTCTTGCTGGAGCCAGTTCACAGGTTGAAGTTGAGGCCAGTGGGCATTGGCTGGGCATAGATGGGACTGAGGGACAGATGGACCAGTGGTTTCCCAGAGGATGTGGGGCCAGACAGGTGTGTGTACGCCTGGGACGAGGGGGTATATTCTCCAGAGGGTAGATGGTGGGCCAAGGCAGGGTTGGGCAGTGCGTTTGGAGGCAGGAGGCTGCGGTGAGCAGAGGCCAATGGTGGATCACCCAGAGCAGAACTCAGAAAACTTGTTTTGGGGTCTGCCCTGCCCCCTTCCCAGCAGGCAGGACGTTGCACAGGAACAGGCACAAAGCAGGGAGAACAGGGAAGCAGCCCTGGGTCAGGGGGTGGGAGGGCGTCTTCCGGCCCTAAGCGACGGTCCTGGGAAGAATCAGAGCCCGGGAGCCATTGTGGGTTCTCGAGCAGGGCTGGCGTGAGGGCGGCTAGCGAGGCTGGCCGGCGGGAGAGTCTGAGCGCGGCGCCGTTTGCGGGATGCTGGAGACCGG